TGAGCAGGGTGTCCCTGAACAAGACTTTTCGGGGGACGGGCAGGACGTCCTGCACTGAAAATTGCTGTACAGGTAGGCGATGGTCCGTACCGTAGGCAACCCAACTGCACCGTCTAAACCAGGTCCTACCACAGAAAAAGCCTAACAGGCAGATCCAGTGAGCTTAACGAAAGCTTATAACGAAACATAGCCTCATACGGCAAACGTCGTCAAAACTGTCCTGCGCGACCTGACTGGAAGGTACTTCAGTACCCAAAATACTCTTCAAATCTCGCTCTATCAGATTAATATTTGCTCCGCTCTCTAGCAAACCTCATGAATGGTGCCTGTTTCGATTTCAGTAAGTAGTTTGAGCGCTGGTTACACGACTTTCTTGGGACCCGGCGCGCTGCCGTTTGAATAACTGAGGTTGAGAAGTTAACAAGAATGTGCTAAAAGGTCGTGGCTACAACGAGGATTATAATTTTGATTGATTTTTACCGTAAATTGATGATTTTGTTGGTTTATAAAAACGCTACGAACTTATGGAACGACCTAATATTTGCATGCACTTACTCGTTGAAAATTTAACGAGGATTCATTTTTACACGAGTGTTTCCTATATTTATTCCAAGAAGTGCCTATAAAAATGAAAATGAACGGAAAATGAGTGCTTGTTAACATGTTACCATGTTGGTGTTCCTATCGTATGTGCCTCGCGCGAAATTGGGCGCGAAAATCCTTCATAACTTCTTTCAGAGAAACGTTTAGCAGAAACGGAAACCAGATTTGGAATCGGCGCTCGAAGGCGAGTGTACTGGTATGCATTTCATTTCAAAAGGCCACGGACACTGATTATCGTTCCCTTGTAAGTTTACTCACAAGTTCCTCGAACTTCTTGCATAGTGAAGATTTGAGGTTAGACCGTACAGCAGCGCAAACACGCTTTGACTCGCTCTCAATTCTCCTCCAGCTGTTTTCAGACATGAGACGTTGGCATGCTTGTTCTTTTGCTCTACATTTGAGTAGAGAGGAGTATAGGACGTTTTGCTTTTGCTTTGATTGCGATAGCAGGGATGTTCGTACACGCTTCTGTACGATGGGGTGACTTTCTGGTAAGCTGCAAGTTACTCCTAACTTCTTCTTCTCGATGAAGTTGGGTAGCACTCCAGACGTCTTGCATCGCTTGAGAAATATGAGCGACTGACATGCGACGGCTATCTTTTGTCGGAGCGCCAAAGCTCCGCTTACAAGTGAGAACAGATTTGGCGTACTTCTTGTAATATTCTATACGTTCTCTGATCATGAAACCTGGGCATTTTGAATTCATAAGATATGTTGTAAGCCACGCAGGTTTGTTAAGTTCTGAAAGAAAGCACTCAAATCTCTCTTCTCAGCTAGCTCACAAGTGTCAGTTCGATGTCCTAGGGGGAAACATGCTGCGACAATACTTTGTAAGTAGCGTACCAAGTTCTTCACCAATCAGACAACAACAGATATTTGAGATCCACTGGTGGTAATAGAATAGAACTGACCGATATGGACAGTTTAATAGTAGTGGATATGTTATCTATAAGTGACAATATGACAGAAATGGCATCAAGTCACTTGTGATGGAGAGCTGCTCGTTCTTTCCGTTCAGTTTAGGATCGCGCGAAAGAATGTATGCCGCTTCAAGCGCTTTGCGAGCAGCAATTTTCGACTCGTGACCTAGGATGATGCACTTAATACTGGAGTCATTGCCGTGATGATCTACCTTTCTGTGTTTCCCTAGCGGACTTGGCATGCTTTCCCGTCTTTTACTAGACAAGTGTTCATTAATTCGCACGCTGAGTTGACGACCAGTTTCCCCTATGTAGGTAGCGTGGCATTCTAGACATTCAATTTTGTAGATAATGCCAAACTTGGTACAGTCTCCCATTTTTCCATAAGGACAAATGACGCAATCCCTCTTAATACAGGCTGTATCGTACAAACGATTACGCACTAGCTATCGCTTGGTGTTGCTTCGGGGATGCTTACGAGAACAACATCTTGCTTCAACTGAGCTTGTATTATGCAATTCTGGAAAGCGTGCTTTACCTTTTCGGAGATAAACGGTAGACATAATGGGATTCTGGTACGAGCTTGGCTATCATCATTATTTGCGGTGTTTTTGAAATGTCTAGATGACCTTGAGAAGTAGCCATTGGAAGCTGCTATCTCATTTGCCAGTTCGAGGGACTCTTGTCGTTGATGGTGATAGTCAGGTCTGTACCAAAATCCCATTATGTCTACCGTTTATTTCCGACAAGGTAAAGCACGCTTTCCAGAATTGCATAATACAAGCTCAGTTGGAGCAAGATGTTGTTCTCGTAAGCATCCCGCGAAGCAACATCAAGCGACAGCTAGTGCGTAATCGTTTGTACGATACAGCCTGTATTACGAGGGATTGCGTCATTTGTCCTTATGGAAAAATGGGAGACTGTACCAAGTTTGGCATTATCTACGAAATTGAATGTCTAGAATGCCACGCTACCTACATAGGGGAAACTGGTCGTCAACTCAGCGTGCGAATTAATGAACACTTGTCTAGTAAAAGACGGGAAAGCATGTCAAGTCCGCTAGGGAAACACAGAAAGGTAGATCATCACGGCAATGACTTCAGTATTAAGTGCATCATCCTACGAAACGTAAACGAAACGTTAGACCAAAATAAAGAACTTAACAAACCTGTGGCTTACAACATATCTTATGTCTTTGTAATATCTGATGAAATGTTTTGTATGGTTGAGTGTATCTTTAGAAGCGTTTCGTTTTACACATAAGTAAATTGTGTGAAACCATCTATTTATCAGAAAAATGTATGTATGCAGACCACAATGCTATCTCCTGTAAGAACTTCTTGTACATTGTGTCTTAGCCTGTAACGAAGTTAGAACGTAAATTGTAAGAAGCAAAGAAAACTCTAACCTAATTGAAGATGAAGCCATATTGTCGAGAGTTTTTGGAGTCATCATAGATACTATTGGCTCACTATACAGAGACTGAGAAAAGTTCTAGATAGTTGTTATCCTCCTCACCCCACGAGTTGCCCAGTGGGCGAATTCGAATTCAAACTGAAGGCCGGTCGCGGCGTGGCGCAGCACCTCAAACCTCAGTTCAAATCTTCTATTTTTCTTGCCGTTGCTTGGTTACTCGCTGTAATCTGACAAGTTCTTCAATACAACTGACGTTTTATTTTTGCTAAGCGTCGTTTCTAGCCACAGGCTCGGTTTCGTTTAGGTGGTCTCTGAGAAACGATACATATTTGTCAGTTTGGCGAATTCGTGATGTATAATTCACTAGAGCAACACTTTTGCACATGTTATTTACAAAGAAAGGACCTACAGCAAGAGTGTCCCATCTGCATCGTTTCTTCAAGCTTACCTATATACAGAGTTGAAGTAACGAGCATCAGAACGAAACGATGTTCGACAACAACAAAGTGGTCATTTCGCTAGCGAACTTACCTTATATCAAACAAAAAACAGACATATACCAAGAAAAACGATGAAGAAACATGCGTAAATTTGAACTGGAGACTAAGGTGCTGCGCTCCGCTGCGACCGGCCTGCTCTAGTTCAATTTCGAATACTCCCACCGAGGGACTATGTAGTGGGGTGGACGACTATATCTGGGGTGTGTGCCCTTTAGAACCGCTCTGACCTGGCGACAATAGGCCTGCTCCACGGCCACTGACGCGCGCGCATGCGGTGCGTGCTTGGCACCGCCCAGAATGGACGAGCTGTCTGCCCAACATTTTCTACTATCTTTTCGAAAGTTATTTTAGCTCTTATTCGTCCAATTTATGTCTGATTGATCTGATATTAACATATTCTGACTGCTGATATTCTGCTAATCAATTCTATTGTATACTACTTGGAAATTTCCTGTTCCTTAAGCTTGTTCTCATGGTTTATGTGACATGAGCCTTGCTTAGAGATCTAGAACTTCCAAAAACAAATCTGTTACTATTCTTGTATTCCTATTCACTATTCTGTGCTACCGCTACACTTTTATTTGATTGAAATGCGTCGGTAAGTACTTAGAAGGTTTTGTGTCATATGTTGAGTTTAGCTTGTTTCTTCATTGTTGATTCTTACATCATGCTTCATGCAAGATTGTTCCATAACTCCACGCACGTTGTCATGTATACTAAGACATGAACCTTGCGTGAGGAGCTAGAACAATCAAGCTATGCATGAATTATCTTATCCTACCATGATTTGGCACTATTCATTTTGCACTTCTACTGTAATCTGCATCTGGGTCAGAGATGTACATCTCTTAATGCCTTTGGGAGGTTTATGACGTGCGAAAGTCTCACCGTGCCAAGCAGACGCATATAAAAAGGGTACCATAACAGTTTGATTAGCATAATCTTTGTTTGCTTTCGAGTCATCATGCTTTCTCACAAGTTTTACATTGTTCCTGTCAACTCACGCAATGAAAGTCATGTTCAAAGCACTCAACAACTACATTGCGTCCTCTACTTCCGCGTCCAGCTCCTACCCAGCTTGTGGTTCAAGCCAGCGCACCTCTTTATGTGCAAAAAATAATGCCAACAAATCCTCTTTTGATGCAATCTCCAGCTCCTCAAATGCTTCTGATGGAAACACAAGCGTCTGATAGGCTTCTTTTGCACGCCGCAGCCGGATAGCCTTCTCGTACAGACTTCGGAGGCTTCCACACCTTTGACAGCACAATCGAGCTTCAGCTTCTCAAGCCCAGTACCAGCGCAGCCCCCACAATCACCTCCATCTAGCTACACCTTCTCAAGCCCAGTACCAGCGCAGCCTTCTAGTAGCATATCCTCCCAGCCCGCAGCTTCTTCATCTGCTCCTTCATGTAATCTTTCAGATATAACCATATATCAAGGAGAACGACAGGTAAGTAAATTTGGGAGGCACTATGTGCTAATATACCGAATTCCAAGGGGGTCTAGGTGCTACGCATTCGCTCTACACAAGAGGGAGAAGTTCTGTAAGGCCTTCAAGTGCATGTATTGTGCTAAAGCAGGATATCACACTCAAGTAGATGTAAGTTGTCTACAGCGTAGATGTAATGTCGATCTTGTGCTCTAGGTAGTCGATGACGAATTCGAAGTAGACCCTTGTATGTTGCCGCACTACTGCATTTCTAAGAAGTGTAAAGCGAACTATGTGCAACGCTTTATGTACGAAAACCTCCAGAAGATCCGAGGCGATCCTCATTTCGAAGATGCAGTGGTTAGAAAAATTTGGCAGGATATGCTTGACGCTCTCCCCCTCCTGCAGTACTACACTAGAGAAGAAGTCGAAGAAATTATGGACGAATTTTATGATATTGGTTACACCAAGAGAAGAAGAACGATAGCCAAGTCAGTAGAATTCGAAAACGAAATCAGATTCACACTCTACCTTCAGGGCTGTGCAAAGTCATGATTTACCGAAGGCTACTCTCGAAAACAGCCCGACAATCTGACGAAGCTGGATGATGGAACACAGTTTCAGCCATGGATCAGCCATCAGCAGACACCCAAGCAATCAGCAAGTGCAAGGCTTTCTTAAGCTACCTGCACAAAAACTGGTATCAGGGGCCCTTCGCGGACATATGGAACAAAGGGGTAAGCCGGAACTAAGAACAAGTAATATCGCAGAGTCTTACCACAGGTACTCAATATTTCTCCGCAATTGTAAAACATAATCCTTTTCTTTTGTTTAAAGTTCTAAGAGTCCTAATAAGAGAAAATCAGGCCACAGTGCGCAAAACAATCATGGCTTTGAAAGGAAGTGACAGAGGGGCAATGTGCAAACTAAGAAACCTAGAAAGGGTTTGCTTACCTTTTCATCTCTTACTTTTTCAACCTCTTCTTCAATCTCAGTGATCATTTAGAGGATCGTACGCCGCTTGCGCAAGAAAGATTTGAAGTTGTGCAAATTGTACATATTTGTATATATTGTTGATATGTAAGTAATAAATTTTTTGAGCTGTCGACAGTAATTTCACTTACCAGGGATCCCATTCTTTTTACAAAAATGTCAAATAAGGTTTATTACAACTCAACGGCATGATCCCGGGCCCATGCCGCCGAGAAATAAACAAAACAAATGGAGACAAATTATATAACAACAAAACAAAACAAACAAAAAAACAAAGAACAAGCAAGTTAGTACGTTGGAAAAACAAACAACAATAAAAACAAAAAAAGAATCACTGGCCTTCTTTTTTCCCTGTCACCCATTCCTGCGGGCTCTGAAAGAATCATTTGAAAAAAATCAATAAACAAAAAAGTATTTCTAAAATATAGCAACTTACCCCTTCATCCTTCGAAGCATCACCGAAATCGAAATTCGGTCGTCCAGTAAACTTCTTACCTACAAAAAAATAAACATCAACATGATAGGAAACCAAGTATTAGCAACACTGCAACGTACGAGCAAATCTGACACGATAACGGACAGTTTGGACGTGATTGATGAAATGATTGAAAACCGTGGCTTAAAAGTGATTACAAATGATAAAAACAGTGAGATAATAATTGAATGACAACACCGGAGCTTAACAGCATAGCAAACGAAAAAAGAACCAAAACAAAGGTTATTGTGAGCTAAAATAGTAATTTCTTATCAAGTTTCCGACAAATCTCTTTTGGCAAAATGCCAAGACTCGACGGCGTAATGCGTCCAAAAGTGTACGGAGATGTGCGGCACAACTCGTCCTTCTGCAGGTCTGGCGTCTCTCACGGCTAGGCGGCTCTCTCTAGCCAGTTGCTGCCGAGGCCTCGACCAATCACAGGCGCGCGCTAATTACGCTGCCCGAGCTAGCGGTTCTGAAGGGCCGTCTCCCCTATATCTGTCGTTATTTTATATCAAGGAATGCTCACTCTAAAATCAATTTGCTTTTCCTTTAAGAGCTCAAAGGATCAGTCGCCAATAAACAGCGTTTGAAGTTGATTCAGAATATATGTTTCTTCCCATAAGGCAAAGCTAAATTAGGTATCTTCCCTGCTAGTTATGTTTCTGATCAAAGTGTGCATCCCTTGTACTCAGCACACTAAACACCTTACCAATTATGCACTCGCAAGCTGAATTTCAGTGCGCATTATGCATTAAAATCCCAAGGTGTTCAAACCTTTAACCGCTCATAGATTCGTCCAAAAATTCCCCTAGCAGATACCGAAGGTATATTCGGATCAGCTCATTAAGACACATCTAACAAAATGCATTTTATTTCAGTTTCCCAATGCGAATGAATCCTTCCCTTGTAAGTTGCCTTCTCAAGACTTTCAACGCAAATTAGACTTTTTTATATACGGAAATATCAGAAATTCAGAATTTTGTTTTAATTAGAAGCTTTGGTAATGTAAATTTTGTTCAAAATGTTGTATGTTTCTCCTTCAAGCTTTGACAACACGCCATATTGATGTATGTACTCAAAAATGTTGCCTTTGAAGCTTTTACACCCCTTTGACGAATGAATTGAGCAGAGACTGCGCTTAAATCGCAGCGCAATAAATTTCGAGAAGTTCTTTTACAGTTATCTTCACTGCCTTTAGGGGTACTATTATGATGTCGAGTTCTGCGGAATCCCGAAATTAAACACAAAGTTACTCATACAGGAACCCACCAACCTAGAAAAGCTTGAATAACGGAAGCTGAGCAGCATATTCATTTCGAATGCCACATGTATCAGTTTTATATTTTAACCGTTTTCAAAAACATCACAAACATACCTGTCAGCTGCAAACCAGGCGATCAGTAATGCAGCTACTGAGCGCAAGAAAATCTTATAAAAGATGTCTCATCTTTGCGTCTGATTTTATGCAAATCATCAACCTTTTCGAACTATTCCAACTTACTTGAGTGCTTTTTGTCCACAGCAAGACATAAAAGGTGAGGATGGGAAGGGCAATGCTATAATAGCTAAGAATTGACAGTGAGGGTTTATGCTTGGTCAAGTATCAGGGATAAGTCCAGTACATAATAAACAATACTTATTCTAACATTTTGTACAGCCTCTATCTGGTAGTGTGAAACATAAAGTAGTAGCGCTGTGGCTTTGAATAAGAAAAAAAAATAATCAATAATTCAAATGGTGAACCCACGATAAGTGTTTAAAAGTTTTTTACGCTGTTTGCGAGGTAACATTGGCAACCATGAGGTGTCGCTGATTGATATTGAAACTCGCATCAAAAGTTATGTTTCTATTTGTATCGTATCCGGGGTCGAATAGAGTATACCAGTTCTTGCATTTAAGTGCTATTGCTATCCAAAGAATTGATCCAAAGGATTTATTGTAGGTCTCAAACTTGTCAATGAAAAGTGTAATAGGGATGCACTTCTGCAGCAGTTTATTACTTTTATTAATTTTGTGCTAACGCCCGAAATTTCGGCTGCTGCAACTGGGTGTGAAAATCAATCACAAATTAGGATCTCTTTTAATGTTTAAACGTTGAAACACACATGCCCTTTTCTTTGCGAACCTCAGCTATCGGTATAAAAGAAAGATGCCATGGCATCACTCAGAACGATGTTCAGGTGCTGCGGATTACTTCTTGTAGTAAGTTATTCACGTATACCGTATACCGTTATATGAGTAACGCTTTGTTATTTTGTTTACAAAAGCAGTTGCAGTGTCTGACATGTGTGTCCTCTGAGGAACGTGTATACGGTTTACACAGCGGTGGTGCGCCGGAGTTGCTCGCTCTGCTAACGAAATTCACAAATAGATTATGGGATTCAGATACGGTAAGTTCAAATCTAAATTTGTTTAGTGTGGCGTAATAAAGATGATACTGTGATTGCTTTGTATCAGAATAGTGAAGTGGTCAGTCTTACAACCTTACAAATGCTCAGTCTAATTTGTAGTATCACATCGATCTGGAGGATATCGCTACGTGGTACTTAAAGCTGAAATCGGAAAATAAAAACGGTAAGTTTCAACAAACAGCGGAAAGCCCAAACCTCGTCCTTGAATTTTACAAGTAAGTATCATGGCTGTTTTTGTTATCGAATATAAGCATAGTCGCTAGAATCAGAGCGTAAGAGCACTCCTGAAACGAATATACCTCAAGATTGTATTCATTTTGACAAAATTTAACCCATGACCCACCATATGGGTCACATTGTCCCACGTGGCAGTCATTGCATGACCCACCATGTGGGTCACGTTGTCGTCAATGTATTAAGGAACGAGGTCTGCCTAGGTGAGCAGCTTGAAGCATGAACACCTTTAAGTAGGTCCCTTCAAGAATTTGAGTTTGGTCAATAAGAAAACCTGAGAATTGAGTGGATTTTGGAGCTCACGGATGCACTGCAAGAATGCTGGACAATTTGGGAACTTCATAAAACGCGAACGAGAGTTTTGACAGTGCAATTTTTTGAAGTGGAAGAGGAAGTATAACGCTTTCAAAAAAGGATACTTTTTCGGATTTGAAAAACTCTAGATTTGGTAGTTTCAATGTTCGCTACATAATTACAAGAATATCAATTCGAATTTTCTTGCTAATAATGTCGGGAAGTTCGGGAAGAGATAAAAATAGTCCAATTAGAGCGGTGGAGATTCTAAGGCAGTTTGGGGGTCACTTAATGTGGGAAGCAGGGCCACGGGTGGGAAGAGCAAGTGGCTTGGATTACTTTGTCGGGTTTCAGACGGGCGTTTCAATCACAAAAATTTTTTTACGTTACGTTTTCTTTACGTATGAAAGTTTGAAAGCATACGAGAGTCTTCGCAGGCTACGAATCTTCAAAAGTTTTGACTTTCAGTCACATTCCCAATTCACACACACAGCCAGTCCAAAGCGCCGCGAAGCGGCGCTTTGGACTGGTCGAATATAAGCAAGTTTGATCTTCAGAGCGCCTTGGAAACCCTTTCAGTCACTTCAAAGTGTCTTTTCTCGTTGGTCGCACAATCCACGTATTTATAAGGTACGTTCAAAAATGATGTCCGGTTTTACTGGTTTTCAGCGCCTGCTCTGCTATCTCCCATATCAATTTATCACGATATCAGACCATTACATTTCGCTAGAAGTGTCCTTCATGTGGTATATGCGCTTGAGGAAGTGCTACTTCTTTCATGCATCATAACAGAACTTCTCTTTCCGCTAACAATGAGGCGAATAAAATGGTGGCAAAGTTGAGAAGGTTAATAGCATGTACTTCTTCATCAGGTTATGCTTGGCGAGCGGATGCGATAAGGATAGGTTATAAGAGAAAAGGCTAGAGAGATGTCCGTAATATTCTACCAAAAGAAATAATTCATAACATCATGAAATTGACTAGGTTAAATTTCACTCACATAGCGATCTAAAAGCCCCGTCGCTTTCTTCTGAAAGCGAAAGTTCCCAAAACGAAGAAGCGTTGGAGTTAAACAGATTACAATTTGATACACTACTCGCATCTTTTTGAAAAGTCTCAACGATAAGATGCCATTTTTTGAGTATTACGTGAAAACCCTATTGCAATGCTTCGAATCGTCTATTT